ACCACCTTTGCCCCCCCCCCCCCCCAAACGCACCTGCACTGCGTCCCTCAGGACGTCCAGGATGCAGGGCCGCTTGTGCGCTGCATTGGGCTTGAACGTCTGCACCGGTGGGGGGTGGGGCCGGCGTCACGCGGGACCGACGCAGCCCGCAACCGGGCGCGACGAGGCGCAGGGGCTCGCATCTCACCGCGCGGCATGGAACAGACCGGGCACAACCGGACGCCGTTGAGGGCTGGGCAATGGATGTGGTGGGCGCCAGCCGGCCAGTGGTGGCAGGCACTGCATGGCCAGCACATTTTAATGGCCAACAGACGAGGAGTGTGCGTGCATGTACACTCAGCAACCGCTCCGGACGCGACCCAACCCTGACTGGGGGAGGGGCCGGGGCGGGCACGGGGGCCCCGCCGCCCTGCTCACATGTGAGCGCCACGATGCTCACCTTGACAATCTCCATTTCCACGCGTGCAGTGCTGGCATTGTAAAGCAGGGAGACCTCATCATGTCCGGGGGGGTACTTCCCCCACCGGATCTTGTGCAGCGCCTGGAGCCCCTCGCTGGCAGTGAGGTTGGACTCCCTGGCTGAAGAACGCGCCTTCTCAAAGAATGTAATCAACGCAGAGTCTATCCAGGGGAAGGACTGGAGGCACGCGTCTCCAACCAGTGCCTCCTCCTGTGGAGACCGAACCGAAGGGAGTTTGGTTGAGTGGGACTGGCCAGGCTCGGCGCGGGATGCCCCGAGAGGGTGGTGCACAGGGCATGCGCGGCACACCTCGGCATGCAGGAATGGCCCTGCGCCGCTGATCTTCGCCGCGGCCTCCCCGAGGTGGGAGCGGAAGGGGAGGGCGACGGAGCAGAGGACCAGCGCCACAACCGCCAGGACCAGGATATTGTGTCGGCGCAGCCTCGGTGCAGACATTCTGCGATCGGAAATCACGGCCTCGGGTGTGCGTGCTCTAAGAGGTTGTCATCCAATCAAGGTGCAGCAACGCAGTCCTCATCCCAGCCAATCTAGGCATGTTGCTCCCCGGTAATCTTCAAAGGAGAAAGCGGCTTCTATTATTTTTTATATTCAGGAATTGAATGCCGAGAGTTCGGCTGCGAGTATTCGTCTCAATAGACCAGAGCGATGTCAAGCTCTGACCGTGAAATGTCCTCCTGCTTGATCGGGACGACAGGAATGGGGTATTGAGCATGCAAAGCACAATTTCTCGATGTTCTTCACACGTGGACATTGATGTGTGCTACCTTTGCTTTGAGTGTTACAAGGGCACGGCTTTGAGCTTCGAGGCAGGCACCATAAGCGCTTGATGGAGGAGCTCGTGACCTCCCGCTCTCAGCCTGTCGGATCGCGCCATGGTCAATGTGCTTCTCATAGGCGTGCAGCGCGTCGGCATATGCACCAAGCTCCCTGTGTTGGCTGCCCAGCAAACTCGTTCAGTGGATTGGACGCCATGGGCAGGTGCAAGTTTCTAGCTATTAGTTTGTATGGCCAACATCTGCTCCCGCGCCCTCCATCAATAACAGCCTACTGCTTGGCTCAAGACCCACACGTATTAATCCAGTGTCATTAGACCACAGGTAGGGATGCTGCAACCGGATGCGCCCCTCCCCAAACCGACCTTAGCTGGGCAGTCCACATGACAACCTGGGAAGTGGGTGCCCATCCAAGGTGGGCGACCAGTATGGGTGATTGTGTACCGGAATCGCTACAACATCCTACCACCCAATTCCATGCCAAGGCGACGGAAAGATTAATAACTTGAGGCGAGGACTCTGGAGTGCGTTCGGGCAGGGCATACCCGCCCCGAGACGAGAGCCTGCGAGCCAGCGAGTCGTGAACCCGGAGTGACACTCATTAGCCAGAGAACTTCTAGGTCATGCAATTTCCAAACCGAATTAGTGGGAGATGTTATTTGTATGAGTCTTCGTTTGGAGAAGCGCTGGGGTGCCATGACGGGGTATTGTGGCTGGGTATGCACAGGGGTGGGTCGAATCGCGGCAGGGAGGTCTCTCTCACAATACTCGCCAATACTTTGCTGCATTGGTGGGGCGTCCAGTATTACCAAATGTTTGAGGATTACCGGCTCCTCTCAAACAGTAGTCAGCAAAGATGCGACTGTTGCCAACCTGACGTGGGTCGTTCACACTTCCCAAGCACGCGCGCATGCCCGGGATAGTATGAAAGTCGAGGGTGGGCTGGAATTTCATCTCTCTCTGCGGAAGACAACATCTCCATACATCTGGGAGATGGACGCGACGCGGCAACAGCCAGCTCCCATGCTGCTCATACATAGGTAGCCGCGAGGGAAGGCCTTGACCGAATCCAGTGGCAAAGTATGGGCAAGGGGCAGATCCACGATTTGAAATCGCAGTACCCTCCCCTACAGACCTACAGTTGTGCTATTTGCAACTCGCGTGCCCCGCCACGCCACCCATGCCGATGCACCGTGAATGTGCATGGTGGGAGGGCCTAGTTACATATAAAGCCAACTGGGGTTTACACTATGAGCAAGCGAAGAAGCCACGAGCTTTCTGTCGTGGCAAACAGAGCTCTCTGAGCGTGTAGGGCACCGCAGTGGACCCTCCAAGTTAGTTTCCTCATCGTCATGACCACTCCCTCATGGTCCTGCTGAGTGGAAGCAACTTGCACCACTCCCCGAAGTTGGCTCTCGGCAACGTTGATGCTTTGGTATCGAAAGAGAACATGTGTCAAAGTTAGGACGAGGAGAAAATGAGCTTCTCTTCAGCTTGCCCGAAGTGCTCTAGACGTGTGAGGATCACCAGAGTCCTAACCATCGCACCCTGCCATGGGTGTGTCGTACAATCTCACCGGGCCGGCATAGCAGGATGTCGCCATGTTCTTGAGGATACAGGAAGCTCGATTGCAATACAGAAGATGGAATCTGCACATTTAGCGCTGAATCCGTACCTGCATGACTTCGTATATGTGGTCGTGCACCCCTGTCAATTATGCCCATACAGGACATGGCTCATACTCTAAAGCAGATTGTGTGCCACGTGATTGACTATCAGGACTGCAGGGGGTCATACTGGTTCATACCGGGAGTATGCCGCCCATAGCCTGCTCACGAGATACATGACTCTGAACTTTGGAAATGACTGCTAATTACCTGTTGAAACTGCGAGGTAACTTCCAAGATGGCTGCCTCCGGAGGTATGATCCTCGTGCTTCTTCTCGTCATAGGCGGCGCTTCCGCATCGACCGGTAAGGACCGGTCGGGAGAGCCATGGGGACGGAAGATGGGTTCTGTAGCATATCTGCAACTCAAAGGGGCAAACTGGGATCACTGTCCCTTCTAGAGTAAAGTAAACAAGCTGGGCGGCATGCGAACCTGCGTCAAGCGTCACCGGGCATGAGTAGGCGGTGCCGGTGCTCTGCAATGGCCAGACCCAGCCCGACCTTTTACCTATCGCTTAACCAGCCGTCCCTATCTATTCTCTGATCGATGCCCTTTATTTTGGAGCAAGCTTAATGTGATCATGCTTGCTGCGTGGTACTGCTCTTGCACATCTTTCTGTGCAGGTGAGTAGCTTCATGAACCTGGCCCCCACTACCTTCCCTCCATTGCAGTCTCCCAAGGCCGGTCTGTGCTGCAGCTTTCGCTAGGTACGTGGTTGTCTGAGGTAGAAGCGTTGTGGAGAATAGCAGGGTGTAAGCGCTCACACGAGGTGGAGGCTGATCCATGTCGGTCCATCTCCATACTGCCGCACCGAACGAAAGAAATCCGTCCCGCCCGTAGATGGCAACGACAACACCCTGCCCACGACGACATTCGGCAGCGACACGGTGAGTGCGCATCACGGATGTGGGAATATTGCTTGATATAGTGTGCTTCCAGGGCTCTTCGATCGGTAAACTTTCCCCGATCTCATTCGCAGACCGATACCTCATTCGGGGACAGCTCCGGAGGGTCTAGCTCCTTCGTGAGCAATGCCGACCCCAGCCCCACAACCCAGTCCAGCACCGTTGACACATCCAACACCGATTCTGGATCAGGATTCGGAACGTTCTCTAGTGGCCGCAGCTCTCCCACCACTGCATCCGGGGGGAGTGCGTTCAATTTGTTTGGGGGGGATACCTCCTCCTCCGACTCGGGAGGTACCTCAGGCAGCCAATTTTTCAGGCAACAGGTATCCCCAGCGCAATCCTCGGGCGGCGATTCCTCCCCTCTCACGCAGGAGTCCTCCAGCGGTGGATTTGAAGCCTCTGCAAGCCCAAACTCAAGGAGCGACTCTGATGCTGCCACATCTCCCGCCTCCCAATCTGGGTCACAGTCCAGCCCCACCTCTTCCTGGGTATTGACTCCCCCCAGCCCCAGCGACAACCTCAAGATAGCAGGCACCAGTCCTGCACAATCGTCCCCCAGCCCCAAAACCATATCTTCTCCTTCCCCAGCGGCCTCGCCCAGCCCGAGCAGCAAGAGCCCACCCCCCAGCCCCAAGGACTCACCCAGCCC